ATGGCCATGACAGATACAGATTTACAATAGTCATATGAAAATATTGGGTGTTCCCTAACTTCTTTTGAGTAGTATATATGATGCTGTTATAAGTGGTGCTAAGCCTGCATCTCTCATCCCTTCCTTATGCACATGGGTTTGGCTCACAATCGCTTAGAACTTTCAACATCATTTAAGGAATTATTTTTTGATAGTTGTAATCAGTGGTAGCAAATATTTGATGAATGCTTATGATAATTTTTTGTGCAATTTTGTGCAATGTGCATCAATCCAATAAACCCTATGTGCAATCACACTTACACACTTACACAGGGTGAAGGAGGGTCTTGATTTTATTTTGTGATTGTGACTTTCACAAACTTTTTTATGTGTTTTCTAGTCTGTTTGTTTTGAATCATGCAATATTTCCGGTGTTGATTCTGTTGATAGTGATTCAAATCATGCTTTCTGATTGAAAAACCTACCTAACGGCACTTGAACTTGAGCATTAGACATTGTCAATTATCAGAATATGAATTTGTTTTTGTGGCGATATTGGCATGTTAATTATACATGGCAATCAGCTCAAAATCAAACAGCGTAATATCTGTTCTAATCGAAAGAAAATAATTATTATTATTTATACGAGTATGAATCCTTTCAGACAAACATTTTTGTTAGACTGTAAAACACATAGACCTATCAATATGAAAATATCTGAAATAATTTTATTGCACTTGAAGTTACATGTATACAGAATATGTAAATCTGGTTCACCAAATCTGAGCAGTATAGGTCACATGATGTAGCATAACAATTGCCGCACTAGTTGGTGTTTCTTCGGCCCCAGTATAATGAAGGGTCCTCAGCGCTGCATCTTCCCCAGGCAAGGGAATTAACTGATCGTAAAAGTCCAGTTTCCACCCTTGCCGAACTATACTAGAATTTCATGGCTCGATCGTAGCGCCACCAGTGGCGATTACAAGTTAGTTATATCCCTTCTACATCCCTCCCTATGGACCAATCAGATTCCACCTCTCATATCACTTTGATTTGCTTCAAACAAAATGGTGGCGCCCAATAAAGGCAATCTGATTGATAATCAACATCTTTATTGTAATAAAGTGGGTCTTAACTCGCAAAGTACATGAAATCACTTGAGCACCTTGATTAAAAACATGGAGACATTTTGAAAACACGTGTCAACACTCAGGAGGCCGATCCTGCTATCGACTGACGATGCCATGTTTTTGGCGAACCGTGTGTTGATTTTTTTTACACGATTTTGATTGGACTATGCATAGACTAATTAGTCCAGCCAAAATATAACTCCATGATTCCAGCCTAGTTCAGCAAGGGTGAAAAGTGGACTTAAGTAAGTTAACTCCCTTGCCTCAGGAAGATGTAGCTCTGTCTGTTGTAATAATGTTCAAGCAGAGAGTGTAATAGAGTATAGTCTTCCTGTTTCCTGTATGAGAGTGTGAGTCACATTGCTAAGATTGTGCTTGGAATCATTAATTAATGGTATGCCAGTTACTGCGTTGTCTAATTATCTCCCCTGTACAATGTGCCTTATCCATGTTTCCATCACATGCAGTGCTTGCCTCCCTTTGTACAGTGCTGAGGTCATATTTCACAACTGTCATTTAAACAATAACGAATTTTAGATAGAAATACTCAAAGTAATCATTTTAGAACCATCTTAGAGAAATGTTTTCATTTTATAATTATTTAGAGGATACTCGCAGTGGGTATATTCCTTGAATTTTGTGCAGATTGAAACAATTACTTGAAGGGCATGTAGACAAAAGCAGATTCTTAATATCAAATCCCATTTTTCTAATACCTGTTGGTAGCCATGGACAAATTAGAAATGTAGTGCTTGCTGTAGGAGCAATATGTATATATTTATCATGACCTTTATTATATTCGTCATATGCTGTTATATGACAGAACATTCTTAGAAAACTAAATGTCCACAACTCTTGTTTCCCTGTCCTTTGGGCACTATATTTCATTAACTAGTTAATGGATCAACTCACTCAAACCTGCAAAATTTGGAATACAATTAAAGTGAAATGAAGACTGAGTTGACGTATAGATTTCAACATCTTTATTATTTCAATGGGATGTTTTGTTACAGATGCTGGCTCCATTGTCAAGCACCTGCTTCATCTTTTTTGATGCTTCAGTGCCCAAGATGCTACTTAGAGATATTAAAATTTTAATTGAGGATATATTGTTTCATCCCTCCATGATTAAAAAATTTCTCTGAGAAACCATATGAAAGAAAAAATGAGTTTATTGACATAGGACAGGTCGTAGATAGAAGTGGAAAATATAGTTGACCCCCCAAGTCACTTTGCAGCTTTCTTTGTCCTGCAGGAAGAGAAGGAATTCTTTGTTTTCTTTTGAATTTATCTTACTTTTGTAATATTTCGGGTTAGTGGATCCAATATCATATCAATAATAATAGTCTACCTTTACAGATCACAATTTTATATTTTTCATGCATGTTTTTGTGAAAATGTGTATTAAGTATGATTTTATTCTGATATATTTGGTGATGTTTTATTGTTGAGGTGAATTCCAGATTATACTAAAATTAAAGGGGTTATACAGCGATTTGTTATGATGAAAATATCAGTTACAGCTGTTATAGACTATTTGATTCCTATAGAATATGAATATAGAGGAACATTGATTTCTGTTGCTATAAGTTACAGTGATGTGGATGTTTGATGCTTGCTTTACAAGAAAATGGTGTAATTTTATAAAAAATGGATTTTGTTTATGAATAAAGTTCCATATATTCCTTTCACAATCATGGTGGTTTCTGTTATTATTTAAAATTTAGTCTGCTCTGAAGATGTTTGAGTGTATACATGGTGTTTGTATTTTCATGCATTGTCCAGGTTGGATTCCTTGTACTGACCAGTTTGGACTCAACTTCCGGAGGCAAGGGAGTTAACTAATTGCAGAAGTCCAGTGACCACCCTTGCCGAATTTCTGGGTTTGATCGTAGTGCCACCAGTGTCTATTATGTCCCTTCTATGTCCCTCTTATTGACCAATCAGATTCCCACTCTGATATCACTTGCATTTGCTTCAAACAAAATGGCGGCACCCTGTGAAGACGACCTGATCGCCAATCAAGATCTATATTCAAGATCAAGATCTTCTTTCGTGAAGTGCATCAAATACATCTTGAATAAAAGCCCGAAAAGATTTGGAAAATATCTGTTGACGCTAAGTTTATGGTACACATGCTTTGCAAATCCTGCAATCGACCGAAATCTGAACTCAGTTTACGAATCGGATGTCGATTTTGTTACGCCAGTTTGATTGGACTATGTATAGACCCGTTAGTCCAGTCAAAATATAACGCCTGAATTCCAGCCTAGTTCGGCAAGGGCGGAAACTGGACTGTTGCGGTCAGTTGCCTCCCTTTCCCCGGGAAGATTGTTTGGACCAGTCTGAAATCCTGGTTAGTGGATGGTCAATATATGATGTTTTATACACTATATCAAGTTTATGACCCAAAGTCAATACTGTATTGTATGCAGTGCGTTCAGTGATTGTCAATACCCGAGGTTCAAAAGGGCCTTGTATGCCCTACCTCCAGTGATGCTCAGTGTATGAACTATGGACAATACAGCATTGCTTAAACTGGTTCCAGTGATAGAGAAGCGTTATGTATCCAAGACTGATGTGTATGTGTATACTGGGCATATCTTTCTGTAAAGATTTCAATAATTGACTTGACTGTTACCTTATGCTGTTAAATGACAAAAATTGGTCAGAGGCGACAGGAAAGCCTCGTGGTGAAACGTGCTTTTCACACAAGGCAATTTTGCTAAATGGTCCGTAAAACCTCACTCGTTCACTCACTAATGGTCCCAGTCACCTATGCCTTGTGTTTCATCTATCAGCATCAATATCTGGATTGGGGAATTTCAAATGGAAGATGACAATGACAAACACTATCAGCTGGTCAAATTGCCGCGATAACAGAGGAATATTCTCCAAAATTTCATGTCACTCACTCACTCTCCGATATTTCTTATCACTCACTCACCCAAAAAGCAGTTCTGGGCCATGAGAACTTGTTCCTGGGAGCATGAGCACTGACACACCCACGTGGTTACAGGGTATGTGTGTACAGAGGTGACAAGAATGTTAATCGGGTGGTCAAGCTGGGTGATTGGTTGATTACGTCTCTTCCTCATAATATCAACCACTGGGTTGGACGAGAGAGAAATGGCTCACGAGAACAAGTCATTAAACGTTGAAAATTGATGTCTAATAATCTAAAAGAAGATGTATCTGAAGAAATATCAAACTCTTTCAGTCCTTGAAATAAATCATGATTTCACTTTCCATAAGAAGTTCTGTTAGAAAAGTAAGTTAGATGTTGAGTTTAAATTGATTTTATTGAAATTGAAACCACTTCGTGTCAACACCAAAACGGTTATTTTATAAGCTTTGACAATTTGGTATATAACTCAATACTCAAATCTTTACTTGTCTGTAAATGACTTCGGAGCATCGGGAGGTCCCGGGTAACGGTGTTTCTGCTATAAGAGACCTTTATAAGGCGCTTCATCTGGGGTTTCAGGATGGAATATTTGTAAGAAATGACTAATGAATCGGTTGGTCCGGCTTGGTGATTTAGTTGATTGCGTGTCATCGTACCCGACGGCGAGAGCCGCTGCTCATGATATACATCACTGGTTTGTCTTCTCCAGACAGTTAAGTTAGTTACCCACAGGTCCCCACAAGAATGTGAACATCCCACAAGGAAACATAGATCGGTATTGCCCTTCTTCCACTAAAACGGTTCCAAACACTCGGTAGTCAGGCTCCGTGTCTTGGTTGATGCATGTCATCCTATCCCAATTGCGTAGATCGATGCTCCAGTTTGTTTGTTTGTTTTTGGTTTAAGGCTGCACTCAGCAATATTCCAATATATGACAGCGGTCTGTAATTAATCGTGCCTAGATCAGATAATCCAGTGTGCATCGATCTACGCAATTGCTCATGATGTAAGTCACTGGGTTGTCTGGTCAGGACTCGATTATTTACAGGCCGCTGTCATATTGCTAAGTACGGCATTAAACAACAAACAAACAAACTGAATGAAGTAACTAAACGTCCTCTATCATTAGGACGTGCCACTGTCCTTGTTAACGTCCCTCACATCATACTTTAAAGCTTCGTTACCAATGTTACCAATTCAAAGGGAATAGGCCGCTCTATCTCCTGCCCAACGCCACTGTCTCTACGGAATTAAGCTATTACATTTTAATACACCAGTACTACAACATGTGAGTTAGCAGATAAGTAAAGTGTTTAAATAAATGGGGCTGCACATTGTCCAATGGCATGCCACTCTGTATACATATCCTGCTGTATTGTTTGCAGTCAAAGAGTACAATCCAAAATGCCTCCGCAGAAAGGCAATAATCCTCCTCCTACTTCCGTCCGTTTACCAACATTGTACCATCATACTTCATGTCCATTTCAGGGGGAATCCGGGTTAGAGATGCTCTGGGCAACTAAGCTGGTCGTAAGAGGCGACTATATGGATGGTGTCAGGCTTGGTGATTTGGTTGATCGCGTGCCATCCTACCCCGATGACGTTGCTCATAATATCAATCACTGGTTTGAATGGCCCAGACTATTATTTACAGGCTACCGTCATAAAGCTGTACTATTTCTGACGTTAAACAAACAAACAAAACTTCACCTCCATCGTCCGGGCAATGGAGCCAAACGCCCACAGCACAAAACGCCGTGAGGCCGTAGCATCACCTCATCCCTTGACTGTACTTGTTGTCCAGAGGGTCCATCTCACTCCACTCTAGCAGCATCAGGACTGGCTTCAAGGTTTGCGGATCGCCTCTTCTTCTGGAGTTCCTGTTTCCGACGACGTCTGATTTCCCAAGACTTCTTCTGAACGCTGTTCTGACGGACGATGACGTCAAGGGGCTTCTTGCTTCTTCTTTTCTCATTTGGGGAAACTTTCTTCTCCTTGGGTGGTTCTACCACCTCATCGGAAGAATAATCGTCAAGGGCCTTCTTGCTTCTTCTTTTCTCAGTCGGAGAAATTTTCTTCTCCATGGGTGGTTCAACTATCTCATCGGAAGAATCATCTGTTGTGCATCCTTCACCGGAAGTGACGTCAATACCTTCATCTGGGAAGATGGCCTTCTTGAAAGATAAGTACTTGTTTCGACGATTTCGTTTGGCCATATTCTGACGTCGCTTACGTGTGACCTTCAATGACCTGTCTTGGATGCTTGTACAGCGTACAAGGCTGGAGAGAGACTCAGCTTTTCGGATCATGTCCTGTTCAGGATTGAAACAGGTAATGACTTCCCCTCTTTCGAGGTCGATGCATACTGAGTCTTCCAGAATCCACCCGCTGCAAACATCTTCATGACTGGAAAACCTGCCAAGAAAGCGTTATATTCAGATATTATCAGTTGAAAGAGGAAAACGTGAAAACATAATGTCTTTTTGTTTTCTAAATATTTTACTTCTGAGGAAAAGAATTTATGAATGTCAACGTCTTTATTACGAGGAACAAACGTTTCGGAGTATATACCTACTCCTTCATCATGAAGTATATACTCAGAAACGGGGCGGTCGGGTAGCCTAGCGGTTAAAGCGTTCGCTCGTCACGCCGAAGACACGGGTTCGATTCCCGACATGGGTACAATGTGTGAAGCCCATTTCTGGTGTCCCCCGCCGTGATATTGCTGGAATATTGCTCAAAGCGGCGTAAAACCAAACTCACTCACTCACTATACTCAGAAACGCTGTGGCCCTCATAACAAAGTAGTTGACATCCATAAACTACCGCACTACCGCACTACCGCGAAAAAAATATTATATTCAGAAGAAGAACTATTGATGTTACTTCTTTAACGTTGCTAAATGAGGTGCTGCGGATCCTTCATTAGTTATAGCCAGTGTGGCAATATATTTCATAGTTAGAGAGTGTATTGTACAGTAACATCAACACCCCTCTACTTTTGGCTAGTCACAAGGCTCATACATCCCACCTGTAGACCTTTTTAACGTCATAGGTGAGGTGAAATGGGGTGTAACGTCGCGTCCAAGATTATTGCACTTTTTTAGCGACGCGCATGTACGCGTGTGTGTGGCTGCTTGTACTAGTCCGTACTCATGCCGATTTATAGTGCTAGCTCACTGAGATACCATGCCGCAGTTTAACATGAATACCCCACTCAGACACAGTATACGTCTTCTGTTATGACGCGGCCGGGGATCGTACGGGCGGACGCTCTACCACTAGACCACTGGACAATGGAGGCGGTCCATTTTAACGTCATAATAGTGGTGTATATTTCAGAACAAAACATTACGAAGGTCGCTTCATTTTCTCAAGAGATGTCAGTATGAATGATGCTTACATGATATATGCCTCCGCATGGCATTAGTGTAAGTATTATAGTGAAAATATAGTTTGGGTACATGAAGCAAACATGATGTATGCAGATTAAAACTGATCTTCACTGATCCTGAATTCGCCCTTTCAACAACTACTGGAAATATTAGGCTGAGCCGATGCAAATCATTCATCATTTCCACTCCCATCAAAGAGTTTTGCGTTTGTTTGTCATTGTGTCGTGGAAGAATGGAGATAAACCTAATGATGTTTCAAACGTAGATTCGATACTTGTAAATGTTTCAAATTCGAAACTTCACGTTATCGCGTCCGATTTCCAATACAACCTCTAAACTGAAAACACACAAGGTTCATCTCCCAAATGATGATCATGTGGCAACAATGGCGGCTGACTGAAAACACCATTGTTCCCTAAGGTACCGGGATCGACGCTCACATCGTCCGACCTGTGAAGATCCGAGCTAGAATCGGTCTTCACCAACACGCTTGTCGTGAGAGGCGACAGCAGTTTTCAATAATATTGTTATAAAATATGTTCGACAAAAACAATTTAAAATATAACTTTGTATTCACGAGTCAGTTGTATATATGAACTTGCTTTCGTCGCTAAATAGCTGAAATTATGCCGATGCGACGTTAAATTTTAACTCACTCGCTTATAAGAGGCAACTATATGAATCGGATGTCAGGCTCGCTGACTTGGTTAATGTATGCCATTTTATACCAGTTGCGTAAATCAATCCTCATAATGTCAATCACTGGATTGTCTGGCCCAGGCCGTCGAGTATTTACAGAGCGCCGTCATATAACTGGAATATTGTTGAGTGCGGCGTTAAACAACAAACAAACACATAAACAAACAAATAAACACACTTTCGTGTACTGGTTTATCTGCTCCAGGTTCGTTTTCACCTTGCAGATTTTATGCTATAACTCATGGTGTTGACATTATACTCGAAACACGATAAAACGTGCCTATCTTACCTGCCAATATAGCCAGAATCACGGTCTCTCCTTGACGGGGATCTTGGACCGGATGTGACGTCAAGACCACTATCGTCGAATAGGAATGTAGAATCTTCATCGACATTATCCAGGTCGGAGGTCGAGAACCAGCTGACTATACATGAACGTCTCTTCTTCTTCTCATCCGGGCTCTTCTTTTGGCCTCTTCCCCTCAGACGGGTCATCAGTGACGTCACAAAATTCGCCGCCATTGCCTTCTCGAACCAAATACGGAAATCTGAAAATGATAGAGAGGAGGTCTGATATAAATAGATCTTGGTGCCTCTGCTTCTATATCGTGTCGGCAATTGCCAGACGGGTAAAAAAGAACAGTAATAACAATCATTTGGACAAACAAGACGGACAAAAGGGTGAGGTGACGAAATTCGCCTTGCAAATTTGGGTCCTTTCTTTCTCTGGTTGTTGTTTGTTCGGATCCGCTTTTTTACCGATTATCACCCTTGGTCCGCCATGCTCGTGCGTTTATTAAACTTCTGAATCTCTGCTCTATACATGGATTTTGGCTGCTTTCACAAGTGGACAAGCTTTGATTTAACGAAAATAACGTTCAAAGCTATAGTGAGATTGCGATAAAGAGATAATACGAGACGAGAAAGCGATATTTTCGCGCAACAATATGCTTTCTCGTCTCGTGTTATCGCTTGCTAGCAATCTCGCGACCGAAGTCGAGAAAGTGAGGTCCCCTCTCGACCACCATAGAAAGCGACGTTAACCCCCTCTCCTGCAGTCAACATAGGGCATACGTACAATAAACGTCCCCATGTGGACTGCTAAGGGCGTCGGGTGGTTATCTGTATGGTCATTGTGCGATCCAGCTGATTGCTATCAACTAATGGTTGTTTGAGCATCGATCCACACAATTTGATACGATGACATGCATCAACGAAGTCAGAGAGCCTGTCTACCCGATCCCGTCAATCGCCTTTAACGGCAAGCATGGGTTGCTGAAGACCAATTCTACCCGGAATCGCTATCAACTGATATTTTGCGTGGCCCAACTTCGATTATTTACAGACCTCCTTGATATATACCTCTCAAAAGAAGTTAGGGACCACGCGATTCTTACATATTACTATAGTTAAACTATAATGTGGTTCTTAGCTTCTATTGAGAATTATGCAGCTGTTATGTCGCTGGCTCTGCACAAAAAACATTCGTTCTCTCGCTAACACATTTGCAGTACACTAAACCTTTCACTTTTTCAGTGAGAGATGACGTATCCCCATCTTTTTTTTAGCAGTGAGAGATGACACATTCCCATTCTATTCGTATGTTTGTGTTTTCATGCATTGTCAATTTCGATGGTACATACCGGAAATAAGCCCCTTCACATGTCCCAGTGTGGGGGCGGTACACTAATTGGACCCGTCAATCAAGCGCGACCATATTGAGTGTCCCAGGTAATCTTAATTACAGGTAATACCAGGTGCGTGATATTTATATCTTACCTATTGTCAACAAGTTGGACGTGATCCTAGGACTGAAGGTAACCCGCAATTATTTTGCTTAACGACGTGACCTTGATTCCCGTCACCTGGTTATCGTCCTGTTACCTGGATACACGATACCAGTTTATAAGTGAATTTTGTGGAAATGATAGAAAAAGAAAAAGTGTCAGTGTGGGTTTCGATTGTTTGTCCGTCGTATTAATTCCAATTATTTCGTTTGACCTTGAGAATTGAACTCTATCTTACCATGCCCCAGCAAGGAGTAGAAGGGGGTTAAAAAAGACAGTCGTCTTGAATTTTTGCTGTAATGTTTTTTGAACCCATAACTCAAGCTATTGATGCATATTTACATACCCTGACTAATACGTGATTTGGCCACCTAAAAATATTTAATGTTTTTCAACATTGACAGGGGCGGTGGGGTAGCCCAGTGGTTAAAGGGTTCGCTCTTCACCCCGAAGACCCGGGTTCGATTCCCCACATGCGTGAAGCCCATTTCTGGTGTTTCCCGCCGTGATATTGCTGGAATGTTGCTAAAAGCAACGTAAAACCCAACTCACACACTAATCACCCACAATGTGCATGCTAAATTCGGCTCTGGTTCCGTATATTGTTCTTATACTCTATTTCGAAGTTGCACATTTATATGCAACCCGTTCTTACGACACTCAGTGCAGTTTGTGTTTTATGCTCACCACACAAACATACTCTCTAGTCTCTACGTCTTTTATTTAGTACAATTCTTAGAATTGGTTGGTGTGATTGGGAAATCGAAATGAAACATAAAGTTAAGATTTGTTCCATAACAAACCAATTTTCATCTTCCCGAGGGACCCGTGAAGATCCGGGGTAGAATAGATCTTCAGCAACCCATGTTTGTCGTAAAAGCCGACTATGCTTGTCGTAAGAAGCGACTAACGGGATCGGGTGGTCGGGCTCGCTCACTTGGTTGATGCATGTCACTGATCCCAATTGCGTGGATCGATGCTCATGATGTCAGTCACGGGATTGTCAGGTCCAGACTCGATTATGTACAGACCTCCGTCATATAGCTGGAACATTGCTGAGTGCGGCGTAAAACAACAAACAAACATCTTCCCGAGGCAAGGGCGTTAACTGACTCCAGTTTCCACTGGACTTTTATAGTCAGTCAACGCCCTTGCCTCGCGAAGATGCCCAATTTTGTGTGGCCTTACCGTATCTTTTGTTTAGCAACATAGCATGAGCAATATTCCAGGAATACCACGGCGGGTAAGAACGTTGTTCTTCACACATTGCGAAATCGAACCGGCGTCTTCAACTCGGCGAGCGAACGCTGTACCCACTAAGCTAAGCCGTGTAGAAACGGGTAAAGATGGTTTTGAACTGAACTTAGTGATGTGTGAATCAACCATGGCTGCGTAGAAATGATTGTTGATCCAGCATGTCAATTAATTCTCTGTAGACTATAGGCTTCCTAACCCGGGAAAAACTCGTGAAGATCCGGGGTAGAATTGGTCGTCAGCAACCCATACTTGTCGTATTAGGCGACTAACGGGATCGGGTGGTCAGGCTCGCTGATTTGGTTGATGCATGTCATCGTATCCATATTGCCTGGATCGATGCACATGATGTCAGTCACTGGATTGTCTGGTCCAGACTTGATTATTTACAGATCGCCGTCACATAGCTGTAATATTGCTGAGTGCGGCGTTAAACAACAAACAAACATAAACAACAAACAAAATCACTCCTACATCCCTCTAGCTCTTTGAAACTTACACCCCTGATGGACTACGCGTTACAATTGCTGAGCGCGGCAAAAAACAAACATTGATTTCCTACACTGACGTTAGTACAAGGCTTACTATTCAGCAAACACGAACTGAAAGTAAAACGACTCGCATCTTGACAACAATTTGTTAAGAACTTGTGGACAGAATATTGGTTGCACAATTTGTCCCCTACGAAAAGATTTAAGATTTTCACATTTTTCATCTACCAGTGGAAACTGGACTGTTTCAGTCAGTTAACTCTCTTGCCTCCGGAAGATGCATTTGTTTAAACAAGAAGTGATTGAAATACATTTGTAATTCTTATACATAAGGATCCACTTCAAGCATAGGTCATTTTATTTGTTTAACAAATAATTGGGTTAATTATCGGCGGATTTTTTCATGTAATTTGGGGTTTTTTTGTGCGGAAAGTTGTGAGTTCACAGGTACACAGGTTCCAAATTATTCTACCAATATGTCCATATACGTGAAGTTTATATTTTCCGAGAACCAGATATTTGGTGCAAGGCTATAAAAAATATACGTCAACCCCTCCACACCCTTGGTAGAACTACTGTAACGTATACTGATTAACTCTTTAACATACAGATCAAAGACGGTGTAGAACATCCGAAGACGGAGAGCAAAATAATTTATATCTCTATATTGCCATCCGAGACCTTCTCCGGTTTGACAAACAAAGCAATGTCCCCTACATACAAACCAGATGACCCCTATTAACCCTGAAAAGCGAACACCTCTTTACGTGAGATATGACTTCTCTCTAACACCTAATTATTCCCTGGCACAGCGGATCACAGTTGTCACCGAACATCCACTCGACACCCCCCCCCCCCCCCCCCCCGACCTCTTCCACCCCTCAAGGCTAACCAGACAACAGTACACCAGATGACCCTTCCGATCGCGAGTCCGTACAGGTAAAAACATCATGAGTCAGAGGTAAGATAATCAGCAGGTATTTCCAAATGATTCAACTAGCGCGAAATGGTATCATTACAATTCCCGCCAAAAGTCACGAGAGTGTGTGTGTGTGAATGCAGTGGAGTAACAGATTGTGACAGAGGTAGTGAGTTGTATGTAGCAACATGGCTGCTGGTTGTCTAATGCTGAAATAACGTGCCTGTCGTACCGACAGTGTGATGTCAACATTCATATTAAAACCAGATTTGCACGGAATTGAGAACACCATGTCATCCAGTGCATGCACCCTTTAGAGCTGCCCCCCCCCCCCCCCCCCCCGGGATTGCGCGTAAGATTTGTTTGTTGTTTATGTTTGTTTGTTGTTTAACGCCTCACTCTGCAATATTCCAGCTATATGATGGCACGTCTGTAAATAAACGAGTATGGACCCGACAATCCAGTGATTGACACCATGAGCATCAATCCATGCAATTGGGATACGATGACATGCATCAACCAAGTCAGCGAGCCTGACCACCCGATCCCGTTAGTCGCCTATTACGACAAGCATAGTCGCCTTTCACGGCAAGCATGGGTTGCTGAAGACCTATTCCACCCCGGATCTTCACGGGCCCCCTGTTAGAATAGGTCCCCAGCAAACTGAACTGGCGACAAATGGATCGGTTGTCAGGCTCGGTGCTCACAATATCGTTCACTGGATTGTCTGGTCCAGACTCGATTATTTACAGGCCGCCTTCATATAGCTGTAGAAATAAACAAACTATTTACTCACGTACACTAAATGGGCGATATCGTTAGTGCGAATAATGCAAACATAAACAAACTATTCACTCAGTGCACTCAATGGGCGATTTCGTTAGTGCGAATAATGCAAACAAAATACTGCCACACCAATCAGAATTCTATTAAGTATGATTATAATCGAAAAGCATATTACGGCGCTTTACAACAAACAAACAAACTTCTGTTTAACAAACAGTTGTAATAGACGACTAAAATACATAATGAAACAAATGCATAACCACACAAAAGCACCCTTCTGTTTTAAAACACCTACCGAGTGAGTGAGTGAG